GAAAGTTCAGCAAGGGCTCCGGCGCTTGGAGGAGCGGCAAGTCCAAAGGCTTCCAGAAAGGTAAGCCTATGACAGGGAAAGCTTCAGAGAATGCATCGACAGAAGACTGGAGCGCGCCCGCCGAGACGCCCAGCACAACCAGAAGGATGATTGCATGCAATTGCTTCGGCAAGGCTCTTTTGCGTCCTTATGCGAGTGAAGACCTTTCTTTCTTGTATCTCACAGATGAGAATTTCTTTCAGAAGTCGGAGCTGCGTTCCTATTTGACTGCAGAAAACTCCGAGCTCGACCGCCGACCCGCGTACGGCTGGTCGATGATGTCCGGGTCCCTACGCAGTTTGATGTCGGCCTTGCCCGGCGAAAAGCTTGTGGAGGGCATGACAGAGTTGAACCAATTGCTGGAGCGCGAAAAGAAGTTGGAGAAGGCGCTACAGAAGTGTGCCTGGGAGAGCTATAAGCAGCATCACAAGGATTTCAAATCTTGCGCCGCAGAAATCCTGAAGGTTCTGAAGGAGAACTCCAAGGCGTTGCATCGGATCCTCCCGGTGATCATGACGGAGTGCGCGAAGCTTTACGGGGGAGCTGCGCAAACTCTCGATGGTGTGGTACACGCCGATGCTTTGCAGCGATGGCAGGCAATCGTTCCGGACTGGCCCGAAGGCTCGAAGGCGCTGAAGCGTTGGCGCAAGGAGAAACCAACCCTGCAGTCTACCGCCGAGTTCTTGGAAAAGGCCTACGAGGCGCGGAAGCACGTAGAGAAGTCCTGGCAGGTTCAGCAGGCTTGGCACGGCGATGACTCCTCGCTCGAATCCAACGCGGACAGCAGCTCCGGGGCGAATCCTTGGGGACGCTACGGCGATCCCGCGTCTTCGTCTTCGGATGCCAAGAAGAAAAAGAGCAAGAAGGCCGGCAAGCCCAAGAAATCCGGAAAGAAACCGAAGAAGACCAAGAAGGTGAGCTCATCAGAGACAAGCGAAGCGACCGACCCTAAGCTCAAGAAGAAATTCGGCAAGAAGGCGAAGAATGCTACCTCCTCCGACACGGCTGACGCAGTGGAGACAAAGACCAAGAAGCACAAGAAGGATGCCGAGTCAGCGGATCCGCATTCCAAGGAGGCTGCAAAGCCAATCGACGACACGGAGGCCTCGAAAGAGAACCAGGAGGTCTGCGACGACGAGTGAGCCATGCAGAGAGAATCTGCTGTGTCGTGACAGTACTGTGTAATCGGTGCGTTACCTTTTATCGACTGCGAGAGGTGTATGTTCGGAGTAAGCCGCCGGTCAGAGTCAGGAAGCAATCAGTTTCGGATTGCGTGTTTTCCTTCGAGATATCAGACGTTTGCCCGTCCCGACCGGTCTGCTTCAACAGTATGTGCCGTGGAGCGGCACGTGGACGCTGCCAGCTTGGCTGTCCTTGAGGAGTGGCTTTCGATGTCTTTTGCAGAAATGCAGTCAACACTGGCGAGGTGTACAGAGCCTTTTCTTTGGCAAGCATCGCATAGCATTGCTTGGCGAGCAACCCAAAAGATGCACTGCCTAGGAGTGTCGTTCCTTCAGGCATCTTTCAGTTTTTGGCCGACAGAATCGCAGCGCTTGCACGCGCAGCTGTCACTCGAAGGGTGCACTAACTTGCTGTGTGTGCGTGCTCAGGCCGCCCTGGTCACCGCCACTTCATGCGGCACGTAGACGAGGCTCGGAGAGGCGCGAGTGCAGGAACTTGCCGTGTAAACTCGCGGCAACAAAACAAATGCAGCCGAAGCGACATGGAAGCATGCCTGTTGTGACCTTGAGAGCGATTGCACCCTGCACGAACGAAGTCTTTTGGATATCGCAGCACTTGCACTTGCAGTTGTCACTCGAAGGGTTCACAGACTTGCTGTGTGTGCGTGCTCAGGCGGTCCTGGTCACCGCGACTTCATGCGGCACATAACGAGGCTCAGAGAGGCGCGAGTGCAGGAACTTGCCCTGTAATCTCGCGGCAAAAAAAAAGAATGCAGCCAACAGTGTTCAATTCCGTAGATGCAAGTGGCGAACATTTGCATGATTTCCTGGCAAGCTTCTCGGTCTCGGTTTCTTTCGAACATTCGGCAGTAGGTATCCGAACGCATGAAAACCTTCGGAGATGTCACATGCTCGTGTTGATTGATCGACATAACTCTCAGACATAAGCACTGCTGATTGATTTCACCTCGTCGGTCGCCCGCCGACTCTAGCGCCGGGATGCTGCGCTAGTAGAGAAAAAAAGGAGCAGCAACAGCCACGGGTCGGTTCTTTGCATGTTGCCGACACGCGACCACGCAGCCGTTTCGGTCAGCGACTTTTGCAAACCTCCGGAGCACTTCGTTTTGAAATGGCTTCGAAACGAGGACATGAAGCAAAGACACGAGAAGCAAATTATACGGAAGAGCTCGTCAGGAGCAGGGAGGAAGACGGCGCTGATCGTCGCTATCTTGTGTATGGCCGCGGACTTGAAGCAGTAAGTCTTGTTTTGTATATGTCCTGTTGTTGGCCCAGGCGCTCTACGGCGCGCCGCCGTGGGCGCGACTGCTTTTCGCAATGGCCATCGCAGCATCTTGCCGGTTATGGTCACTATGGAGATTCGCTGTTAGTGCCGCTTGTCTAGGTATGCCTGCTTCTACGACGCTGGAAGAAGAAGGACTATTGACACTGACAGGTGTTGGACAACTCAAACGGAGTGTTGCTCAGGAGATCGGCAAGAACCCACTCGCGCGGCACGAAGTTTCGGAGCCGTCCTACGCTTGCAGACGCAGCACTGCAATTCAGGTCGAAGAGGAATGGACCTTCGAAGTCGCTGGCTCCTGAAATTTGAGAACATGAGGCTCACTCGTCATGGTCGATCAAGTCCCTCGTTTAACGAAGGTCGACGATGAAGAGCCAGGCCTCGACTTCGCAAGCACCTCAGAAAAAGTCCGTCAGCAGATCGAATGCGGTCCGTTCGAGGCTTTCGAGTGGGGCCTTTTCTGCGAGGAGTCGCAATTTGCACCTTGCTTGTCGTTTCTCAAATCTCGGAGAGGACGGAATCGAAACCGCGGCCGCCAGGGGCTTGATCCCGGAATATATAGAAAAAGATAACAAGTGCCGAGGTTTCGGCTTATCTGGCCTGGCTTCAGGCCAGCGGCGAAGAAAGCATGACAGGCACGACACTTCTGATACGCAGGCTGGCGTGGAGCATCCGCCCAAGGCGCTGCCAAGGTTTGAGGTTGACCTTGGCTCGTTCAATTTCCGTGGTTAAGTCAGGTATCTTTAGAAAAACCTCGACGCAGGCCTCTGCATCAAGACGCACAGCCCCGAAGAAGGCATGGGCGGCGCCTCGTTTAACCGACTAGAGAAACTGCACCACTGAGGTTCGCCAACGCCACATGGATGCAAGACTCGGGTTCAAGGCACCGGTCTAGCTTGGATCATAGTTGCTCGCACACGGCTCCTAACGCAGGTCCCCAGGAAGACGCCGATCCAGGCGGGGTTGAGGCGATAGCCTACCTATCGACGCCGATGATTTCCTTCAAGTTGGAGCGCTTGCAGGCAGCGGTTCATACAGACATCGCAGCCCTGCAACGTTCGCTTATGACACGGCGAGTGAAACACATGCGTGCGGAACAGCAAGCGGAGGCAAAGCTCAGCGACATACTTCACTTTCACTGCCGCGAATTCCGTGCAGGTCACAGTGTCCAAGACATCGTCAGGTGCGCTGCGGAATGTGACAGCACGGTCTGTGGTCGACACCTTTTTTCTCAACTTTTGCAATCATCCCGCTAGCTAGCTGATCGTGACAGCGTCAAGTGCACTGTCGAGTTTAACTTAAAAGCTTTCCTGTGCTTTGACAAGGCGCGCAACAAAAGGAGGATATGTACACGCAGAGCCGCGAGGCCGATGTTCGGTGTGTGCAAAAAAAGAGATAATATGTCCGGCCAGGCTGGATACAGGCGACGAACGCAATACTCGAAGGCTACAAGTCGGAACCACGATCACAGTCAAACATCGTCTGTTCAGGCAAGAGGAGATCGAGCCCGCTTATCTCGACGGGAACGAAATCGGCGACAACATGCATTGACGGGGAACAGCGCCACAGCTGCCTCCGCCTCTTCGCGCTTGCAGGCCGGAGCATGATTAGTTATACGTTAAGTAAACACGCGAAAGGCACATAGTGTTTCGGAACCTGGATGAGCCGTCGCGTCAGGTCTGCCATGGCCAGAGTCTTATCCGTGACTGGAACATATACAAGAGCAGAACTTGTCATGCGACACTGCCCAGGTTCGGTTCGACGGGAAACCCGAGGGGTGAAGATGGAGAAGTGCTGCAGGGTCCTGCATGCGGCCGAGGCTGAGTCCTGGCTCGTCTGTGAGTCGTTGCACGGTTGAGCCCGAAAGGACAAGAAGTTCGATGTCACATACGTCATTCAGGGTCGGTGGCCCAGAAGGTGTCGCATTGAGCGCCCAGTGCATATGCTGAAATAGGCCATATGACGAGCAAGTTCGACATGGTAATGGCCCGAGTATCGAAGTTCCGTACATGGCACGCGCGTGCTGGTAAAGTTTGCAAGGAGAAACCTTTCAGTTTGGCTTATGTGCTGCAGCGCACGTTTCTCAGTGAGCAAGTGCATGAAAGCGCACATATATACAGCACGCATCCGGTTCAGGAGACTCAGGCCCACATCGCAGTCGAGCGGCCGCGAACTCGGGTGTGAAGGAGTCGGCGGCAACTGTGCAAACCGCTGGCGAAGGCTCGTGCCTCGATTCCGGGCGCTGCGTTTGGCACTGTCCCTGGAAAGTCAGAATAGAATAGTTGCAAAAGTACATAAATGAGGCAGTGTGAACACGTGGTCAATGAGTCGACGGCAGCGAAACAGGCTGCAGCACGTCGCACACTCAGCGTGCGCTTGGCTCTTGGTTGTAATAACAACTTTAAAGCGTGAGGCGCTTTGCGGCAACACCGCCGCTGCGGAAATCACAGAGGCCTCGACCGTGAAGGCGCATACGACCAATGGTTTCTTCTGTCCATTCCATAGTAATAGCTTTACACAGCCAGGAGCTTTTGGCCAAATCGACAGCGACGCTGACAGAGGTCTACCAGCTGGTGCCCGAGGTGTCTTTGGGCAGAGTGAGTGCGCAGCAAGCCGACGAAGCTATCGAGCGATTGCACAATGTGTTCGGTCAATTACTCGAAAGATGCGATAATGTCAGCTGGATGGAACGGCAAGCAGCGGAAGTGCTTGACGCCAATCAGCTTCATATCTGGCGAAAGCACTTAGATATCGTCCTGTGGACTCGAGCATGGTCCGCATTGCGCGCACAACAGCGCAAAACGAAGTCCTCCAACGCAGAAAGCAAACAGTTGTCGGAAGCAGAAGCAGAGAGCATCGTGCCCGCTGCGGCGCCCTTGGGCAACGCTTTCATGTGTATGTTCCAAGAGGAACTGCGAGCGGAACCAGACAAGAAGGCCATCACAGAGGCCGAACAGCGTATCAGCCAAGCAGTGCAGGCCCTGCTCGAACAAAGCTTCTCGTGGGACCATATTTTCGAGATACCAGACTTGCTGAATTTTCCAGCGACGGCCGCAGAAAGATTCTTGGAGCTCATGCAGGCGCTCCAGTTATCCCGCGAACCAGCGGCGAGCGAAGCCAGCAATGATCAAGTGGATTATTTGGCGAGGGCGGCTCCGTACGACCCGCTCAGCGAGGGTGTGATCGCATCGGAAGACGAAATTGCTAACCGCGGACACGCAGGAGTGCCGCTGCTCCCAGAAGGGGCTCCACAACCTGTGCCTCCGGATGGTCTCTGCCTCAGCTACGCCTGCGTGGGCGCCCAGAACCCGAGGTATCTAGCAAAAATGCGCCGAGATCGAAGCGGATTTGTTGTGGACGAAAGAGAAGCCTCAAGATTTCGCACGGCTGCCTTGAACTTTCGCGCGGCAGTGGCCGTGCGAGCTCGCAGAGCAGCCAGAGCAGACATTGCAACAGCATTGCAGAGTGGCGACTGGCCGAGCGAGGCGGCGCTGCACTTTTTTGCGGAGGAGTTGGGGGGGAGTCTGATGGTGACCTCTTTGTTTTCCGAGGAGAAGATGTTATTCGGGCAGGGTCCTATTACAGTTCACGTACTACACGGAGTGACGGAGCCGGATGCAGATGGACATTCCTCCGGTCACTTCGAACTGTTGCAGTCATGGTTGCCTGCCGATGAAAAGCCGAGCGGCTCCAGAACAAAGAAGAAAAGATCTTCGTCACTCCGAGAACATGAGGAGTCCGAGAGCAGTAAGCCGGAGAAGAAGAAGCCGAAGCCAGGAAAGCACAAAGCTGGCTCTGCGGCGAATGTCAGCGGCGTGCGCAAAGCAAGGGACTTCGACCCGGAGGAGCCAGGGGAGGCGGTTGTATTCAATCCAGACGAAATTCGAGAAGATTCGCATGCAAAGGAGCAGCACCAGAGCACAGCGGCGTTAGTTTCGAGAGCGTCTGGGAACGCGACGCCGACCCGCACAACAGCAGATGTGGGTTGTGGCGACATGAGCAAAGTCAAAAGGATCTCGAAAGCGAAGGTTGCAGAGGCCATGTCCCAGGACCCTCTGACATCTCAGCCTCCACTCCTCGACAGCAGCTCGGAAGCAGAGTCGGCTGAAGTTTCCAGGTTTTATTCGCAGCTTCTGGACGAAGGAAGTCAAGAAGAGCACGCAGAACCATTGCAGAGGCATGGTGGCAGGACTACGAGGAGCAGCGGCGGGCCAAGAGACAGCGCAGTGAGAGCAACATTGGACGGACGAAAAGCCGAAGCACGGTGACAGAATCTTGGTGTTGAGACAGCCTTACCTCGGGTGGATTTTGGCGGGAACGAAAACTCTGGAAATTCGAGATAAACCTCTGCGTGCACAACATGTTTGGCTCGGTCACAAAGAGCTCATCCTTGGTCGCGCTTACATGAACGGAGCAGAACAGATTCTCACAGACGAGGAATGGAAGAGACTTCTGCCACAGCATCGCTGGGACAGGACTGCGCGACCCTACAAGAGAACCTACGGTTTGCGTCTAAGCCAAGTGTGCCGGACGCGACGGCCGCACGAGTATACGCACCCGCTGGGTGCGATCGGCATGGTGGTCTATCGCGAGGAAACTCGCCCGGAGGCATGCAACACAGAGGCAGTTGTTCAACAGACTAAATTGTGTCCTGGCAGGCATGAAGAAGCTTGTCGCTTCCATCGAGATGGCAGTGGGCGACCCGCTGGACCTTCTAAGCACAGTAAAACCGGCAGATGCATGTTCTGCGATGCCACGGCACTGCGAGAAGTTCATCGTGTCGCTCCTTCGACTATCACGAGAGCCTTGAACAATTTGAAGGCAAAGGCTGCGGAGGTGCACCGCCTGGCACGAACGCGCGTGCAGGAGACCCTGGAGGCATTTTCGTCGGTTGTGAGCATCGAAGATCGTATTTGTCACGTGGCGTTGTGTGACACAGAAGTACAAGAAGCTGCCAAAGCCAGAGACAACGATGCCAAGAGGGCCCGTCGCAAGTTTCCGACGCTTTATGAGGACGAGGGGCAACATGGTGATTGGCAGACCACGGCGGCAAAGACCTTCCAAAAGTGGGCCGAAGAGGCAAGTTGGACAACATGCCCTGGATGCAAGCGCCTGCGAACGCAGCGGTTCCCCGCAGGAAGTCGTCGCAGTAAAGCTCGCTGCAACCATTGTGCGAAGGGCAAAGGATATGTCGCGCCAACCCCCGGCGACGTGCCGCTGGCACTCAGAGGCATGTCTCGGGTCGTGCTGGAGTGTCTCCGGCCGTTTAGCATCTCCTGCGGGCCCGGCGAACGCTCGCCCGCCGGGTATTGGGTGCATACTGCTCCGATTCGATTTCGTTGGAAGAGTGCTACACTGACAGAACGCATTGCCGGTCTCGAGGTGGAGCGTGAACGCAAGCACGCGCAAGTCGCAAGCGAGTGGCTCCTCCAAAACGAAGAGTCGGCATACAAAAAGTTCAATGAGCTGCAAGAAGTGTATGTGATGGCTTCGCAGCAGCAGGAGGGTGCGGAAGAGACACCTTCGACAAACCTCATGCCACTGCGGTTCATGGAGACGGTGGGCATCGAGTGCGCGGCATGGCCACATTTGTATTGGAAGACCGCGATGTGTGAAACCTTTGTCAGATCGCGAGACAGCCGTCGACTCAAGAGAACAGCAGATGACCAGAGCGATAGCGACGAGAATGAGGAAGGCGTGCAGAAACATCAGAGCTTCAAGGCCTCCTATGTTACCAAGGTTTTGTCGCCGCTCATAGGCTATGGCGTCGATTTTGAATTGACGCAATTCGTGTATGATCTCTGGCTCTACACGGGCATTGGCAGTGCGGAGCGTGCGAGCGGCTTGAGCCTTCGCGCGGCTCTGGCGGGGAAGTCTTTCGCGCCGGAATACTGGCGAACCAAACACGCTGCACTAATCGACTTGCAAAAGCAATTGGGTCCTCCGACTCTTTTTCTGACCATAGCACCATATGAATGGACAGCTCCATATCACACGTGGTTGCTTGACGAGATGTGCAAGGCTGCAAGATCCAGAACGAATCTTCCTGTTGCCGAAAGCTTGCACCTGGCGCACCTCTTGACTGAAGTCGTTCGCGAGCTGCTGACGGGACAGCATTCTACAGACGAAATGCAGGGTCTGCTCGGCGAGAAGGTTGTTTATTTTGCACGCCTGGAGTTCCAAGACGGCAAGAGACAATCCTGGCAGCAAAAGCTCAGAACACAGTTCTATCACGGTCGAGGTACCGTGCACGTCCACGTCCTTGTTTGGTTGCGAGAGGACGCGGACAAAGGAAGGTTGCCAAGCCTCATATCAGCGGAGCTTCCCCCAGCGGGTACGCCTCTCGGCGACCTAGTACGAGGATCCCAGTTGGATCGCCACGACAGCGCATGGCCTCGACGAGAAGAAGCTTCGATTTGGGACACCGTTTCCCAGACACTGCAGCTGAAACATCCGCGCGATGCTTGGGAAGCAAAGGTGAGAGCTTACATGCCCGACGTGCTCGGGTGCTTAAGATGCCATATGGATGTTCAGGCCAGTGACGGCCGGGGCATGATTTTGAGATATGCAACCGGGTACATCTCCAAATTTTCGCAATTATGGACTCTGGAAGGGCAACTCGACAAGCGCGATATCGCGCACAGCATCCTGTGGCAGTACCACCCACTTGAGATGGAAATGGTCCTTCAACTTGCAAGCCACATCCTGCCGCAGTGCACTCACACAGGCCACATTCGTCGTTTCGTGGTGCCGGTGCCGTGGAGCAGCAGCCGATTACCTCGGGAAATTGAACTGTACGAGAAGAGCACATGGCGAGCAGACACTATGCCATTGTTGGAATTTTTGCGTCGAAGCAATTCCAAGGGCGAGATTAGCGTGGACATCCGCCGAAGATACGAGGACGAGAAGCCGAGTTGTACGCTGAACGAGTTTGCGAACAAGTGCTCGACGCAAGGGAGCACCATGGTTGCAACAGTTCTCTACGCCCGGAGCAACGACAACTTTTTCAAGCAATGGATGTTGCTGAACGTACCCTTTCGTAGCTTGAATGATCTCTGGCATGCCACTGTGGATAAAATCCCTGAGGACCTGCAAGGCCTTGCGTTGTGTTTGCACCACTGTCCGAGATACTGGCAGTCCATGCCTGCCATCCGACAAGAAATGGAAGCAGAAGCTTGGAAAGATTACCACATCGAGAACGGGATCTCCAGCGTGAAGGCGAAAACAGAGATGATTCAACAAGTAAGGGCTGGAAACTATGAGCCACTGGTCGCAACTACCTGCGAGCAGCATGTGGCCGCTCTACCCAACGAGAGCGAGTTGTCTGCCGAACAGCGACATCTGGTGCAAGCTATGACGGACCTTGTGATAGCTGCCGCGGAGAAACGATGCGGCGGGACGGTCGCAGCTGACCAGTGGAACGAGCACGTGCAACGAGGAAGCCATGAGCGCGCCATCGGATGTCTCGGAGCAGCTGGCACGGGCAAAAGTGTTGCAGTCAAGACGGTCATTAAGAAAGTGCAAGACAGGGCAAATGTGGCCATTGCGTGTCCAACAGGTTTGCTGGCAGCCAGTTACCGACGGTCATTTACAGGAGCCCACATCGATACAGTGCACGGGTTTTTCGCACTCCATGTCGAAGAGCATTTGACGCTGGACTTGCTCGCAAACTATGATTTCGTGGTTGTGGAGGAGATTGGCCAGTTGACAAGAACACAATTCGAGCGAATTATGCGACTGTGGCTAGCAGCAGACCAGCGACCGTGTCTCGTTTTCCTTGGTGACTTCAAGCAATTGCCCTCTATAGACAACAGCAACGCGAGAGCCAGTCCTCTGTGCAAACATGTTCGCTGGTGGGAATTGCGCCAAGTGCAACGCAGCACTTGTCCGGAATTGACTCGCAAGTTGCAACTGCTGCGAGACCGCCAGCCTACCCACTCACAGCTGCAAGCAATATTACGCGGACACTCCGTCAGCAAGGGTGACCGCCCAACCCGCGAAGAGGTAGCGGGAGTTCTGGAATCGCAGCGCGAAGTTACCATGGTAACGTTTACTCGAAGGGCTGCCGAAGAGCTGAACCAGATGGCGGTCGAAATCCAATTTGCAGACCATGAGCCACTACGCATCGTCCCGACTGACCCAGATGCCAACATGGACAACAAGCTTCGCGGTGAGCACGTCAAGTATGAATGCTCTTACACCGCCTTGCACATCGGCATGAAGCTGATGTTGACTCGCAATGTAAATAAGGAAGGCGACCACGTGAATGGCATGTTTTGCCATCTGGAAGCTGTCGGCCGACATGGCATCAGGGTCAGGACGGCCACGAATAGGTTATCCTATTCTTAACAAAAACAGTTTTTAGAGTTTCTCCCCTTAAATAATTTTTTTAATAGCGTGATTTTTTAAAATTTCTATCAGTAAAATAAAATTTCGCGAGAAATTTTAGAAATTTCCAGAAAATCTTGAGTCAAAATTTTTTGATGTGAGATTTTATAAAATTTGACAGTAAATTTTTTTGATGTAAGATATTGTAATTTTAAATTCTATCAGTGTAATAAGAGTAAAAAGAGTTTTCGCGAGAAAATTGAAAATTTTCCTGAAAATCTTGAGTCAAAAAATTTTGATGTGAGATTTTATAAAATTTCCCGCCTAGTCTTTACAATGAAAAATTTTCATGACCAAGTTTACATAAATAATTCCGCGATTTTTTTCACAAATTAATGTAAAATATTTTACAATAATATTTTCAATATTTTGTGTTAAAATTTATTGAATATCACCCAAAAAATTATTTTTATGGGTGTAAAATTAAATGAGGTAATAAGTGATGTAATAATATTTATTCAATAAGGCGCCTTCGCGCCTAATTGTCTCACAAATTCATGTAATAATTCATGTAATAATATTTTATATAGTCTTATCACCTAAATATTATAGTTTATATTTCTTTAAGACCTTTTAACCTAAAATCTTTTAAGTTATTTTGTGAATATTTATTGTTAAAATGCTGTAATATTTATTGTTATTATATTATGTAATGTGTATTTGTATATTATATATATCTATTATCTAGAGGAGGTAAAGAAAGGAAGGAAAGGAAGAAGGCTACGACAAGTGGCGGGAGCACGGGGGGCAAGCTCCTGAAAAATAAACCCCACATCGCGAGAAATATCTAAAAACGATTTCGGTTTCAAATTTACGTGCCCCCCCAAGCTCCCGCCGACATTAATGATTTATCTTTTGTATAAGGTTAATACGAATCATAATATACTTAAATATTATGGTTGTATTTTAACTCAACACCTCTTCTTCAATTAGTTTTAACTTGATACCTCTGTATATCCTGTTTCCGTGTGACTTTTTAAAATCAAACCCGTTAAACTTCATATCTTTGTAGAACTTACTCGCATCGTTTTTATCATTTCTACACCATACTCGAAATTCTCTGTACAAATCCTCACGTTTAATAGTATCCTTGTCGTCTTCGGTAATCTCACACCTTTCATTTAAAAATGAGTATACTGGGTTGTTATCTTCGATGTATTCACTAGTTGTTTCTTTACATGCTTCGGGTATATGTATAGGCTCATTCATGTATTTATGAGCATACTCCAACAACAACTGGATGAATGCACCTTTTAGCTCTTCATCGTTTTTAATTTTATCTTTCAAGTTGTCATCTCGTAATCTGTTCATACGATTTAAGTTCAACTTCTCTTGTTCTACAAAGCTGAAAGGGTAGTTTATGATTTTAAGCCGTCTTAACATTCCATTGTCTAGCTTTTTTAATACTGGCACTTCGTTACATAATAAGAAGCAGTTAAACATCGGGTTATACGATATATTCGACTTGTACAAGTCCCTAGCAGTTATGGTGTCTCGTCCCGTGATTTGTTTGATAAACTCCGTGTTTAGTGCCACCTCTTCGTTTGTATTACTCGGCTCACTCACGGATAATATCCTGACACCCTTGCATTTAGCTAGTGTTGGATTTAATAGTCCGCTCTTACTAATATCAGTTAAGAAGGTGCTCTCGGTTTGTAGATAGTAGTTTCCGAGACAGTCTCTCAACAAGTCCATTAACAGCGATTTGCCATTACCACCCTTACCAGTTAGTATATACAAGCTCTCTAGCTTGTTTGTAAACAGCGATATGCCAAAAACTTTTAGCCAGTAATCGATTATCTCGTCATCTTCGAAAACACTGTGTATCAATTTATTTATTTCTTTCACCTTGTCTTCTGCAATGTGTTGAGGGCTGTCTATATTCATGGTTCTACTTATGTAATCACTCCGTTGTATACTCCTGAACTCGTTAGTTGGAACATCAAACAACATACCATCTTGAAACGCTATAATATTATTGTTGGCGTCCTTTTTCTTCTCCAAGTCGTCATCGTTATACATGTTCACCAAGTACTCCATCACACCCTTTATAAATTTAGATTTGCCAACGTCTTTGTAGGCAACGTCATACAACTTAACATTTTTGAAATGTAACTCCCTTTGCTTTTCGTAGTGCTCACTTTCGGGATGTGGCATTTTTAAGCTATCTCTGGCAGTGATGATAAGGTGCTGGAACTTGTCAGTGATATCATTTAACAAGCTACTCGGTGTGCCATTACGCTCTTTTAAAATGTTCTTACTATCATATTCATACCATACCTTGTTATGAATGATATACTTATTAGGTTCGAAAAACTTGTAGTAATAATCCGCTATCAGTTTTTCATTAAATAAGGCTATCAACTTATTCATATCAATTGTTTCTACCTGTGCCTTGTCTATTTGTTCTTCTGTATATCCTTCATCCATTTCTTTGTTTATAAACTTCAGGTCTAGATTGAATTTGGTTTTAACTAGCGCGTGTAACTCTTCTAACAACTCTTCTTTAAAGGTGTTCTTCAAAAGCATTAACCCATCAAAACACAAAACACAATCATTATCGTCATTAATGTAACCGTGCTCTTTACAATGCTGAAACACTTCTTCCAAAATCCTGTTCTCTATCTCTTGTAGATAGTAGCTCGTAACAGATGAAGCGATGTTATTGCGCTCTTTGTTTTTTGAGATTTCTTCTTCAATTTTTTTATTTGCGTCTGCTATTACCTTGTTTATCTGTCTCATCTCGTTTTGGAAATGGACTATAAACTCAAGTTTCCCATTTTTGTCAAGCTTGTTGTCATCTAGCCATTTCTCGTAAGAACCACCGTACATTATGATAATGAACAAGTTTTTTGCTGTGTGCCTGTCTATGTCATATTTCTTCATTATTGCACTTAAACATTGGTCTCTTTTCCTTACATATTTATCTAGGTATGAACAGTCTGCTATATGATTTTGCTTTAATATCTGGTTTAATATCTCCGGATGCGCATTTACAATATCAATGTCATAATAGTAGTCTCATGCTATTGTGTGGCGTATTTCTCGCCTTAAGCTCTGTAATCCCAAGCCTCCCCTGCAGTATGTCCTGCCGAATTTGCATGTTCTTTTGTATGTTATGTGGTTACCGATTTTCATGTATTTTTAAAGTTGTTCTTTTTCATTTTCGTGTCCGTTAAACGGGTCAGTTTGCAATAGCGATGAGTTTACTAATTTAGAAAGTACTTTAAAGTTATATTGCTCTTTACAAGTTAGGGTGTGTAAAGAAGATTTTACAGGTTCAAGTGACAAAGACAATACCATATTATAATGTATATTATAATATGTTATCAAGTGTTTAAGTGTTTACCATAAAGACCTTTTTGAAGTAAACTAATATATCTTGGTTAAACTGTCTTAAAGAAATATAGACTTATATAGTTAATGACAAAACAAATAGAAGAGTTAACGCTTGATGAAGTAAGAAAACAACTTGCATTATACGCGCGAGTTTATAACAAACTCATGCGGGAATCAAATCCAGAATATATTATGAAAGAAAGGGCTCGTAAGAACCGATATAATGCCAAGAAAAGGGCAGAAATACAAGCTCTGAAACAAAAGCAAGAAGAAGAAGCAATGGCTGTAGAAGAAGCAAAGATGCAAGAACCACAAAGTGAAACCAGTGACGACATGTCTAAACCAAAACCAAAGAAGGCACCAGTAAATAATTACAACAGAAAATACAAAGTTGAAGATATGGCACTGCCACAAGCATAAATAATTGATATTATAATTTATAATATCAACTATTTCTTTTTCTTAGGTGTGCTAGAACGAGAACGACTAGCTCCCCTTCTTAATAATCTCATTGCTTGATTGCTTCCGCTTGGTTGTTCTTCTGGTGAGCGTGAGCGACTTGCTCCTCTTCTTAATAACCCTTGTGTTTGTGTGAATACTTCTTCAGGAACGGGAGCCTCTATATCTTCATCTTCATCTTCATCTGGATTTAACGAATTGTAAATATCAATACCTGTTTGTATCGTTTGTCCTAATGCTCTTCCTGTATGATATACTGCTTTACCTCCTATTCTTACAACATTTGCTACATCATTTAATAATTGTCTTTCTGGTGATGGTCTGTCATCATCATCATCTTCATCATCATCTTTTTCAGAAGGTTGTATTGAACTATAAGGTGTCTCGTTTTGTCTTAACATATATCTAAATGTTTGTGTCATTTTATCTCTTTGAGTTTTTAGTAAATTTTTATAATCTTTAACCTGACTATCATACAACCATTCAAGACCTTCAATTTCTGGAAAATCTGCTTGTATCTTTTTATTAGCGGTTGTATCAACATCATAACCTTGAGTATTTAAAAAAGCATTATATGAACCTAATAAAAATAGCTCATCATCATCTGTTTTCCGTCTCATCTTTTTTGGTAGTTTCTCCTTTGTAAGATGTAAATGTTTTTTCATATTATTATCTTAGAAACTTTATGTTCCAAATGCTTTTTTAATTAACACTTCACCACCTTTAACAGCTAATGCTTTCGCTACTGCTTTCGCTCCTTCTTGTGCTCCTGATGCTATAGCTTGTCCTATACCTGATGAAGAACTTGAAGGCTGTGCTCTACTAATATTGGATTTTTTATAGTCAACCCATCTTAATAGTTTTTGTTGTCTGCTTCTAACATCAAAATCAACACTCCATTCGTTATCATCTATTAAACCTTTGATTATTCCCAACAAAAAGATTTTTTGTGTTATGTCATTAGGTTGTTCTTCTACTTGATTTTTTATATCATCAGTATATTTGTCTCCAAAAAATAATTGAAATATTAAATCTTCAGATGTAATACTACTATCAGTTAATATTTTCTGAAAATCAAAAGAATTTGTAAATAAAACTGCTTTTTGATTTTGTGGTAAATCATCTATTGCTTCTTTATCCTCTGCACTTAGTCTTGTTTCAGT